CGCGCCCATCCGCCCTGCCCTTTTATTCCTGCACCGGCCCACGTTCCCGGTGCCCAGAGAACTGGAAAGCTCTGGAGGGAAGAAAAGGAACAGCGACGTCCTCTGGCTTCTGGCCCCTCCCACTGCGTCGCCCGGGGCTGCAACATTGATGCACAACCCGCCCTCCCAGGTCCCCGCTCCCTGGGGTGGAGCCGAGGCGGGGCCTCCCTGGTTGTCCCTGGTTGGCTGGCAGCCGAGCCTCCTCTGCAAACTGACGAATGGTTGAGGACCCCGGGGTAGAGGGGGCGTGGCCTCCCTTTCTAAAGAAAGGGCTGCTCTGCCCCCAGGAACCTGCTGGTGCTGCTGGGCTGGAGGGTGAGTGTGGGCACAGCTCCGGGTCACGGGGACCGTTTCTGGATCCTCCCGCCGGCCTCCTGGGGCCGGGTGCTCGCCCGGGACACCAGGTGCGGGGAGGCCACCCTGAGGCAGGACGCTCTCGGGCTGGGGGGACGTCACAATGCGAGACCCACTTCTCCTGCCAAGTTGGCGGCGTTCTTGCTGAGACTGTAGACGCGGTTAGAGGAACGCGGTCCCACCGACCTTCGCCGGCGCACTTGCAGCCACGTGCAGGGCGCCTGGGACCAGGGCCTGCGGGGGAACGGCCAGATGCTGCACATCTGGGAGGGTCGGGAGGTCACGGCCTCCAGGTTTGGGGCCACGTTGTTCCTGTCACCACTGTTCACCTCGGCCACTGTAGCACCATGGCAGCCGATGACCATCCATGAACGCGGCGTCGGATCAGGTCCCAGTGACCCTCCATCTTCAAAACAGACAGAGCCCCGAAGCGCTGGGTCGTTGGCCGTCCCCGGCGTGGCCTTCAGGGGACAGCAAAGGGACGTGAACCAGGACGGACTCCTCAGCGGGCAGCAGCCCTGTCGTGACCCAGCACCTGTGGCTCAGCAGAAACACTCACTCACAGTCACACTGAGCTGAAGACAACGGACTAAAGAACGTCCCAGTCACACGGGACGTGTCTTAACCACCAAGTGCACTTTGCCACCCAACTGACAAAGCTATTTCACGTTTCAGAGACCTTTTAAAAGAACTAGTTTGGAACCGCCAGAAAGGGACTGGGGAGCAATCCAGATTCTTTTGTTGAAGTGTTGGAAAGTGGTACTTCTGCACTAAAGGATTCCTTGAGAGGGGAAGGAAACATGCATGGACTAGAGGGGACAAAGTTCGTCCAGTAATAATGGAAAAATGAACATGGCCCTTGAACTTGGAAACCAAGATGGTAGCCCAGACACCCGCCTCTCCAGGTCTCAGCGCACAGCAAACCTCTCCAGACACAAAGCGCTGCAGACGCCTCCTTGTTGGAGCTCCCGTGGGGGGGGGGGTGGGCTTCCGGAAAACCTGCTGAGCTCTGTTCACCCACCGGCCTCCCTCCCCTCGCCTCGGAGCCACCTTTACGATGATGCAGGGGCCCAGAAATGGTTCCTGCGGCTGCCTTGTGCGGCGGAGCCCAGCTGAGGGTCTTCCCACGGAACCTCGCCGCCCCATCTTGCTGGGAGGGCGTAGCCAGCCTCTTCTGCTCTGGGTGGCTCTCACCGTGCCAGAGAACTCCGCTTCCTCGGGCAATTCTAACTTCTAAGGAACGGAACTTTCACAAATGGCGGCTGATGCATAAACATGAGCCATGGAGGCTCTCGTCCCCGAGTTTCTGCAGATGAGGTGTCTCCCGGGCTTTGCCCTCATTACGGGGCGTTGATAAGCAATCAGGCGCCAAAGGGCAATATTTGCCAGGAAATTATACACCGGGGCGAATCAAACAGTCTTAGAATATTAGAGCTGGGAGGAATGTAAAGGTCGTCTCTAGGTCAAACCCTCCCATTCTCCCGGGAGAAAACTGTCCGTCAGTGCAATTGTCAATGAATCACCCCACACTGCTCAGGTGGGTGAGGGGAAGAGACCGTGGAGGAGGCCGTCGGGGCCTCTGGGTAGGCGAACCGCCTCTTCTTCGTAAACTGGATTGTCCGGCTGCCAGATGCCAAGCGCACACACACCTACTGAGTGACCGTAGGCTGTGCGTTACACACCGCACCGGATGTTGTGAGCAAGCGTTACATCCGACTGGGTCTTCGAGGTTCCGTGTGGCGGAACGTTGGATACGTGCATTCCTCGAGGGGTCGGCACCCCGTCAGTGCGTCTGGGGTCTTGAAGGAAAATGTCACAGAAGTTCAGGATGAGGGCTGAGTGGACGAGTCATTCGTTTCTGGCTGAGGGACAAAAACACACTACACAAACTGGATTCGGCAGATGTTTTGTCTCGTGGGCTCACCTCTGGGAATTCCGGGGATTTATTTAAGGTTTGGGGGGGTCAGCACCTCATGATATCGGGGATGATTAGAGGCTCTGGACGGTGGGTCGCCCCCGGGAGCGGGGAAGGACACGACACCGGGTTGTGGAAGCAGAACTTGCTCCTTGGGGATGCCGGGGCGGGGGGAGGGGTCTGCGGGGTGCCCCCAGGGACGTGGGACAGATGCCCTGGGGGTACACGAAGCAGATTATCTATGGCAACGGGGGCGGGTGGGGGCAGCCGGGTTTCGTGGGCTTCTGGGAGACTGCAGAGATTTTGAACAATTCCGCCGGCTCTGGAGGAAGAGGCCCCTCCTGGCTGGTGAGCCTCTGGAGGCCTCTGGAAGTGGGGTTCCTGCGCGCTGCAACCCTGGGGGGCTGGGTCCGATGAGGGAGGTAGCAGGGGGTGGGGCCTGAGCAACCTGCCTGCCTTCAGGAGCTGGCAGTGTTCAGCCATGTCTTCAAAACTGGGTCAGGACGGCACTTGGGGAATAATGAATATCCGTCCGCTAAGTTGACCATCCACGTCATTTGCCTTGTAAACTAGGACTCTGTGGGTGGGGCTGCGGGGAGGGTACTAACTGGGCCGCAGCATTTGGGTCAGTAGAATCTGTCCAGGGAAGTCGGAGGCCTGGGCGGGCTACCAGGACGCAGGCTCCACCGGAGGTGCGGGCACTGAGGGGGTTGTGGGCGGGTCTGAGCAGCCCTGTGGGGGTCCCACACGGTTGAGTGCAGGGTGCACAGACCGCAGATCTGTGAGTCTACACCCGCGTAGCTGCCGAGTGCTCAGGTGGGAAACTCATCATCAGTGACCTTGAGTGCCCCTCCAAGCGCTTCAGGTGTTTCTGCAACGGAGAGTCAGCAAAGGCTTTAGAATACGGGCAAGACCTCTGTTGCAGGAGGTCGTTTCGGCTGTAATATGCACGGGAGTAGAAGGGACGAGAGATCAGAGGCGGGAGGAGTGTCCAGAGAGCCACTTGTCTCCGTCTTTGGTGTCACTGAGCTAGTCAAGACCATCATCACCTCTTAATTTTCCTGTATGACCCCAGTTTCCACACACCTCACAGACAGTGCTTTTTTTCTTCAATGCGTTACCGTATTTACCGCGTATAACTACTCACCAACGTGTGTGTGTGTGTGTGTGTGTGTGTGTGTGGTTTTGCCGGTTTCCGCTCTTCAGTGTCTGCCAGACCTGAAGGGTAGGAGTGGACGGCTCCAGGTTCCCCTCTGCCACCTGCGGGCCGAGTGCCTTGCAGAGAGTGGATGTAAATGCACACACGTACCCACGTGTGTGATATCTGTGGAAACACTGTAACGGAGTGCCTGCATGTGGATGGGGTTCCACCTCAATGGGGGAGCCGGCGTCTCCGGACTCAGACGCAGGGGGGAGGCGAGGAGAGAAGGGGCAGAGCTGGTGGGAGGACCGTGACAGCTCAACACGGCGCCGACCTGGGTGCTGTTTCCTTTGCCTTTGATTTCTATTCCTTGTTTACATTTGAAAGCATTAAACTCGATATCAAAGCATTTAAATTTGGTAGGGTGATTGTTTTTGACTTCAGTTGAAGTAACTAGTGCCAGAAAGGAAGGAAAGGTTTTTAAAATTTAAAAATGCTGTATATCAAGAAATGATCAAAGTATCGTTACTTACTAGCACTACAGTTAAAACCCACACACTTCCCAAAAGTATTCCAAGTTGCAAGGAAATATTTCCACTGAATTAAAAGTTTACACAGGGTTGTATCATTGGAAATATAATAATTTTTATCAAATGTGACCTGTTGTGACTTTATTCTGAATGTATTCTGTACTTTTTTTGAGGTTATGAGCCTCTTATTAGATTTCTCTTTGGGAGTAAAGGCCAAAGAAACACTTGACCTGATATTCGTTTATCATTGGAAAGTATAAATGTCAAAATAAATTAGAGAAAACTATGATGTAATCCCACAGGAAAAGTTTGTCCATCCTTAAAAGATAGCACTTCCAGAAACCGATTTCCTACAGGAAATTTGTAACTGCATTAATTGTACTTCTAGTAAAATTAGGAAAAATAATGTTTCCTAATGAGTACATTATATATCTATAATATATTATATAACATTATAATATAATAAAGTATATAATATATTAGGAAAAGTAATGCTTCCTAATGAACATATTCTCAACAATATTGATAAAATCACTATTGGTGTTGTTTTCTTTTACGTGGATAAAAATATTGAAAAATCCATGAAATGTACAAATTCACTGTTAATATAAGAGAGGAATATTTTATCTCATTCCTAATGGCGTAAAAGCAAAAATCAAAGCCAACAACAGAATTGCATGAGTTGGTTTAATATGTTTTTAATTTTCTTTAACGTTTCTAGAACAACTGGACTTCAGATTACACTAATGAAAGTTTTCATCCTCGTGGAATGCATTCCACGTCATGTTCTTCCCATTCCTTAACTGCTACCGCAGATGGGAGGGCAAAAGAAATGCACACCCGAGGTGTGAACTGAAATTACGAAGCTTTGCAAAATACACGCGTGTGTAAAACACAGAACTCCGTCCGCCCTGTCTTGGATAATGGCATGCTAATGTTCAATGCACGTGCGGCACTTCATGCGCACTTGAAATCCCTCCTGGTCGCGTGTTGTGGGTTCACGGAGGTTCTGTTCTTTCAGGCTCTCGAGAGGCCCGCGGGACGGCAGACTTTCTTCCTGCCTGCTTTATGGGAGGAACTGTGACTGCCGCGAGTGAAAATGAGGTTGCTATGGAAACTGGCAATTCTGCTGCCACTCATCAAGGCTGGTGCAGGTAAAGCGTTCTATTATTACAAAGTTTGATTGATAATCTATCGGTGACTTATTTGTTCTACAGGGGACGCAGTTTTCAAATGCATAATACGTTATTGGCAGGACTAAGTGATAAAATTATGGCTAATGTAGGGAGTTTAATCTTTTAAAAACGTATCAAGTGCTATTTTTAAACAGAACTCAGATTATTTTAATTATAAATTGTCAACTTGGAAGGTTTTACAGAAAAGAATGTGACTAAGTGACTTTGTCATTAACAAACATCGAAGAATGGTTCCTTTCCATTTCCTTTACAGTAAATTCTTTAACAATCACAGTGGAAATATATGTTTTCCCTCAAATTTAGAAATTGCTGTGGTAAAAGACCCGTATTGACAAAGAAGAGAAAGTGACATAGAATGTTAAATCGGGGCCAGATCAACTTTTGCGTTTTTCTTTCCATTTCCATGACACATGGTTTCGTTCGAGCCAAACACACGAATGTCTGCGTGTCGGTTAGCTCTGGCTTCCTAGCAGACTGCCCCCAACCTGCGCGGAGGAAAATGACACGTGACCATGCACCTGGTGGGCACGTCTGTACGTCGACAATTTAGAATGGCTTCGACGGGGCTGTTCTTCTGGTTTTGTTGGGTGCCCTACACCTATGTACGGTCTGCCCCTGGTCACCAGCTGGTTCAGGACATTCTCTGCTGAGGGGTCAGGGCTGCCCAGCCGGCCCCAGCGCCTCTCACCCTCTGGGAGTCCGAGCCCCTCCCCGCGGGGCCTGCGTGGGGCTCCAGCAGAAAGAAATCGGGCGTGTGCCCAGTTTCTGGGTGTCAAGGCTTGTCATCGACACAGTCTCCTTTCTCGTGCGTTCTTTTCACCAGCGCCAGCCGCTTAGCCAGTCCACATTCAAGGGCACGGACTTGTGTCCCGTCTCTTGATGGAAGCTGCCACGTGACCCTGTGAAGGGGTGTGGGGGTCGTAAAGGGATAACAACGCTATCTTTGCAAAGAACCAGCGCCGTCTGTTAGGATCACACTGCCCTATTTCCAGCTGGCAAGCTCACTGGGGTGAGAGGTCACAGGGGTGAACAAAAACTAGGTCACCTGACTGTCCGAGCAGCCCCTCCCCCATCACACCACGTGGCTTCCCGCCAGCTGTGCCGCGGGCGCTGTGGAAGTTCTGTGTGTCCATCACGGAGCAGGAAGGTATTGGGAGAAACACAGGAACAGACAGTGACACACCCGCCAGAAACACCGTAATTGTAAGAGCCACGCACTTCATAGCAGTTCCCAGAAATGGAAAGAAACCAACCATTAGAAGCAGAAAACCACATAAATAAAGGTATTTTTACCCCTGCGAATCCCGTGGCGAGAAGTGCCACAAGCATATTTATTCAAGTCATTCTGCCCCTTGCAACTCTAACAAGGCTCAAGGTAAAATGATAATGACCTTTTTTTTTTGGTAATAGATAGAAAAAGACAGAATCATCAAATTGCCCCCAAATTATCCACGTGGGAATAAGATTTCTATTTCTACGTCCAGGTTTCGGCATCTTATAAAATTTTCACATTAACATTTAGCCCTTTAAATGTGTATATTGAATCAGCATAGTATCTCTGAAAGACCTTTTGTGTTAAATTAAAATAAATTACTGTTCTCGGAACACGCATCGGGTCTGAGAAATTCTCCAGTTCTTCTGCTAATTTTTATTTATTTAAATTGGATGTGATTCAACGTGTCCTGTTGCTTTATTCTAAAGGGGGAAATAAACGTACATCTTTGGTGCACAATTTCCTTGTGAAAGAGCAGGTTGGATCTTTCTTTAAGAAGCCACAGCTATTTAAATAAGGTCGTCTTAGCCCGCGGTGGCCCCAGAGGGAAGGACACAGCTCACATGGGGACTCCGTGGCTCTCTCCCTGTTTGCAGGTTCTGTGTTAGTTTGTAAAATCATTAATTACACTGTCAACTGATAAAGTGTTATTTCTGCGCATGTGTACATCTTCTCTGATTTCCTGAAACGTACTTCTTACTCATTCTGAAAGGCTAGCACTTCCGCAATGGGCTTTTCCCTCCTAGTCCACTACTACCATCTTCAGAATGCTGACGTGCCCGGCGTCCCCTCACCGCATCAGCCTACAGCTCCGCCCCTGCCCTCGCCCCCCCCCCCCCGTCTTGGTTTTAGAGGAGCCCCCGCCTGGTCCAGCGCCTTCCCGGCAGGCGCTGGCTGGAACCTCTGCCGGGAACCGTAATCCACCCAGGCGTGCGGCAGGAGGCTGGAATATTTCTGAACGTATGAGTGTTTAAATAAAAGTTCAAGTATTTTATTTTAGAGTCTTTAAATATTATAAGAACACTAAAGCCCATTTAATTAAGAAACATCATCATTAATAAGGTACTTGCTAAGTATTGCATCCACGTGTGTGGTAGGATAAAAAATTGCTTCCAAGAATATCTGGGTCCTAAAGCCTGGCACCTGTGAATTTTACCCTAAAGAGCAAATGGATTTGATGAATGTGATGAAGGTAACAACCTTGAGCTGGGGTAGGGGGGTCTTTTGGAATTTCTGGCTGGGCAGTCCCTGGAGGGAGGCAGGCGGGGGTGGGGGGGCATGGGACCAGCGCAGGGAGGGGCATGAGGCTTCAATGCAGCCCGTCCTGCTGAGAGGGGGGGCCTGGGCAGGCAGTGGGGGGTCCAGGCTCCGGAAGACGGAAAACGTGAGGGAGAGGTGCTCCCCCTCCAGCTGGGGGGCAGTCGGCCAGGAGCTGGGTGTCCTCCCGGGGAATCCCGTTTTGGATCTCCGACGAAGGCCCCCGGACACAGTCCAAACGCGGGGCCTTTCTTCAGACCGGATCTCTGAGATCTTTGAGGAAGATCTCAGTTCTTTCTCAAAAGAACTGTGAGAAAAGAAGTGTGTGTTGTTTCCAGCCACCAAGTCACGGGGATTATCACAGAAGCCCCAGGAAGTGGACACGGTATTGCTTCCGCTGGGTTGACTCCAAGTCCAGGACGGCAGAGCGTGTCCTCCCGGGGCTCGGTGGGAGTTCAGGAAACATTCGTTGGAAGGAGGGAGGGAGAGAGGGAGGGAGGGAGGAAGGAAAGAAGGAAGGAAGGAAGGAAGGAAGGAAAAGAAAGAGGAAGGAAGGAAAGAGAGAGAGAGGAAGGAAGAAAGGAAAGGAAAGAAAGGGAAGGAAGGGAGGGAGGAAAAGAGGAAGGAAGGAAGGAAGGAAAGAGAGGAAGGAAGAAAGGAAAGGAAAGAAAGAAAGGGAAGGAAGGAAGGGAGGGAGGGAGGGAGGAAGGAAGGAAGGGAGGGAGGGAGGGAGGGAGGGAGAGAGGAAGGAAGGAAGGAAGGAAGGAAGGAAGGAAAAGAAAGAGGAAGGAAGGAAAGGGAGAGAGAGGAAGGAAGAAAGGAAAGGAAAGAAAGAAAGGGGAGGAAGGAAGGAAGGAAGGAAGGAAGGAAGGAGGGAGGGAGGGAGGGAGGGAGGGAGGGAGGAAGGGAGGGAGGGAGGGAGGGAGGAAACAAAAATGAATGCATGAATGCTTCAATGTCAGTGGTCTTATGTGGATCATCGTCAACTAGAATAAAACCAGTCGTGTGACTTCTCCCGAGGAAGAGCCGCTCCCGTCTGTCCCCGCACCCACCCTTGTCCTTGTGTTAGGAAGTGACTGTCCCAGGACTTGAGAGCTGGGACTGTGGTACCGTTTAGAAGCCTCGGACGGCCCCGTTCGCCTGTCAGGCCCACCCCGTCAGGACAGGGGTGCCCTCGGCTTCCGCCCCTGCTACTTCCCCACCACCCGGCAGAGGCGCTGCAAATAGTTAGCAAACAAATGGAAGCCAGTGGCCTCAACCAGCTCAGCAGGTGCGTCCGGGCACCTCAGACGCGCCAGGCTCCAAGCTGGGCGTCGGTTGGCCTTCGACCCCCAAGCGGCTCTGTCCCTGCCCTTGACCCCCTGCAGCCTGAATCTGGAGACCAGCGAGTCAGCAGCTGCCGCAGAGAAACGCAAGGTGCTGCCCAAGGGACCCAGGAGGGAGCAGGGGACGCCTGCTCTTTTGTCCACCGCCCAGTCCCTTTCTGCTCCCTGGTGAGGACAGTTGATTGGTGGGAGAAGCCACCGTTTCCCATCAGTCTTTGCGGTTCTCGTGAGTGGACAACCTCCCCGATCAGCCAGCTGAAACGGGCCACCCCCCAACCACACCGGCTGCTTCCCAGTATGGTTTATCTGGGCAAAGCCCGGGGGGGGGGGGCGGCTGAAGTCTGGTGAGGACGGAAGGAAGGCGGCACCCAGCGCCGGCGTGGGGAGGGCCGGCCTGAAGAAAGGCCCCGAGTTTGGACTGCCCCGGGGACTTCGAGTGACACAAGCCAGCCAGGTGTCCTGTCCCCGCTGGAGGCTGGCTTCCGTTGAGGCGCTGCCCGCTGTGTCTGACAGAGAACACTTGCTTTGGGTGCAAGTTACTGGAGGTGCCGAGGTCAGAGGTCAGGTCAGCCACAGAACCTGGGGCCAGTGCCTGCTCGCGGCCGGAAGGGAAGAAGACACAGAGCGAACAGGAGCGACAGAGGGCACGGTCTCTCCCGGAAGGAAGAGAGGGCCCCGGGAGAGTTCACGTGCACTCCGGAAGCTGGCCTCGGCCCCAAGGCTCTGAACCGTCTCTGCGTCTTCGGGTGGAGAAGAGCATTTCCGTTCATAGAATAGTGTCAGGACCACACTGACAAGCGATGGAAACGTACAGCTCCAAATCTGATTTTCTCCCTTTGGACCACGCACGGGAAGATGTCACGAAGGAATACTTTTATTTTGAGTCAGCGCGACCGAAAGCGGCTGCGGCAGATTTGCTCTGGGCGTGAAACAGGAGCTGGGGGCGTGCGGGGCCCAATGTTTGGGCTCCGGGAGGTCCCCGGAGGGAGAACCCGACACGTGTTGCTGGTGCGGCGGGCTCTGAGTGTCCCAGAGCAGCAACCGGCTCCGAATAGACCCGATGGTGTTCTTTCTGCAGGTTTCCGACTTTCTGTGTGACCCTG